TATATATATATATATAATAAGATAATAAAAATGAATTTTGAAAAATAAATTTAAAATTTATTTATTAGTAAAAAGTAACTTTCAAATGATTTAATAGTATTTTTAAGAAGTTTATATATACTAAGATAATAACAAAAAAAAAATTTGTTTAAAAGTAATTATAATTATTATCTAATAGTAATTTTCCATTTTTAAAACCCTAAACAAAAAATAATTGTAAAATATTATTTGACAGTAATTTTCCTTTTAATATTGTGACATATGTTAAAATATATAATGATTAAATATATATATATATAATAAAAAAATTTGAAAAAGTAAATTTGAAATTTAAAATTTATTTACTAGTAAAAAATAACTTTAAAAATTATTCAATAGTATGTTTTTAGAAATTTTACTTTTTCAAAATTCTAAACAAAACAAAAATTGAAAAAGTTGTAAAAGATTTTGAAAAATAATTTGTAAAAAATTGTATGATTCTTCAAAGTTGCTAATTAACATAATTGTAGCATATGACAGCTATATATTTATTAATTATAGCTATTATCTAATAGTAATTTTTCATTTAAAAATCCTAAACAAAACATAATTGTAAAGATTATTTGATACTAATTTTTATTTTAATATTGTGAAATGTGTTAAAATATATAATAATTAATATATATATATATATAAGATAATAAAAACGAGTTTTTTAAAAAGGAAATTTAAAATTTATTTATCAGTAAAAAGTAACTTTAAAAATTATTTAATAGAAGTTTTTAGAAATTTTACTTTTTAAAAATACTAAAAAAATTGAAAAAAGTTAGAAAAGATTTTGAAAAATCATTTGTAAAAAATTGTATTAAGTTGATTTTTAAAAGTTACTAATTAACATGATTGTAACATATGACAGTTATATATTTTTTAATTATAATTACTATCTAATAGTAATTTTTCATTTTTAAAATTATAATCATAAGATTGTAAAAGATTATTTGATACTAATTTTTCTTTTAATATTGTGACGCACAGAATAAAAGATATTTATTCTCCAAAGCTCTGGAAAAAATTCTCCCTCTGCAACATCATGTGCGAAAAAGTATATAAGTGAAGGGAGAGGGACCTGACCATTACCGTATCAACTCTCCCAATAACATCAAATTGAAAAAGGCAGTTGTTCTTAACAGTTTTAACAGCTATACTATACGGCTTTCGTAAATAAATGAAAAATATCTCTTTAGGGTATCATGGATTCATATTAGAGTACCTCATTAAGCTAATTATAATATTTCCAAGTTTTATTGAGGACATGAAAGTTTCAGCAACCGGCCTAATAGTGCTGCTGAAAGATGCAAGACGATTATTATTCAGCATAGCTTCTGCATATCTTCAATTAAGAACAACCCATTACGAGAAAATCTTAGCAAAAAGAAACATGGCAGGGAGTACTGAGTACACTATCAGATCATCTGCACATGCATGAGAATATTATTTAGTATAATTTTTTTTGGGTCAAATTATTTTAGGATTATTTAACCGCACTTGTGATATTAATAATCCAATATTGGGTTATAACTACATGGACAGTCGAGTACTCACTTGCGTACAGTCGGATGTTGAAAAGGTTTTACTAGGGCATTACTAAAAAGCAGTTCGGGTTCGAGACGGTTTTACGGTTTTTCCGGATCTGAGTGGTTACGGTGCCCAGGTAAAAGAACTTAAAATTTCTATAGACCCCTTATATCTGGTTTAGTTAAGATATTTTAACCAAAATAACTAAACTATCTTATTTGGTTCGGGTATTTTATATTCAAATATCTAAATTTATCCAAAATAATCAAAATACTTTATATAAAGTTAAAAACGATGACTTTAGTTGAAAAAGAACAAGAGTAAAATTTTGATTGTCTTATCATAAAAATGGGTTTTGTGTAATCCCTCAAATTCAAATTTATAATTCACACATTCTGGGTTACAATCCAACTAAACAACAATCTAATAACAAACCTATTTTTGTTTTCTACTGATATTATCATATTTATTGGATAAAAATTCAAATTATTATATTTCAGTTTATCAGAGTTTTGTAATTTTTTTAGATAAGATATTCTTCCATTTGTAACTGACATCATTAAACTTTTAGTAAAGGATATTTCATTCCTTATAATTTTAAAGTGTATTTTCTTTGAACTTTGAAATCATCAATTTATTACAGGAAAAAGATTAACCTCCAACGATTGAGTTTGTTTCTAATTTAACTTTACAATTTTATTTAGGAAATTCGAGTATAACATCATAGTTTCACTTGAGCAAAAAAATACATTCATTCTTTAAAGAATTGCATATTTTCTGAAACTTAACCATTATACATTTTCATTTTATAACCATAAAATTGTATATTTCAAGAAGTTAATCATTAAACACTTCATAATTTTTTTTTTTACAATTAAGCAAAAACATGTTTATTTATTAAAATGTTGTAGCTTTTAAGAAAATTAACCATTAATTGTACCTTTCCAATGAACCATTTAATGATAAAAAGGTTGTATAGGTAACAAATATATAACCTTTTTGATTTAAATATTTAGTATATAATCCTTTTAAAAATAATAAGGAAAAATTAATATTGATTAGTTAACCTAACAATTCTAAAGGATTACAACACTTTGGCATAAGTGTTTTTAATATCTTTTATTTATTATAAAATTCTAATAATCTTATTTTCATCTTAAATGCTTTTAATTTTAACTAATTAGTTATATATTATCTTAAAACATTATATATCATCATTTTTGTAATATTTAATATATAATACTTTTAAAATAATATTGAAATTTAATACTTTTGAAGGGTTGCATCACTTTCGCATCAATGTTTTCAATATCCTTTATTTATAATAAATTTCTAATAATATTATTTTATTTTGATGTTTTTATTAACTATACCAGTTATATATATCTTAGAAATAATTATATATTTTTCTTAAAAAGTATTTAATATATAATTATTTAAAATTAATATTCAAAACTCAAATTAATTTTCCCCCGCTATGGAAACATATTTACAAGCGTAAACAAAGCTTTATATAAAATTTACAAAACAATGAAAGTAAACTAAACATTGAAACTATTGTTATTGTTTTCATAATATAAATTATAAATTTAATATATAACAAAATATATGTAATAAAATAATAAAACATCAAAAGAACAAATGATAAAAAAAAACTAAAACAAAACTGAAAAAATCACGAATGATAATATCAGTCACATTCTTCACTTAACCTATAGTCATGGTAAACAAATTAATGTTAGCAAATAACTCAAGGGGCTATATATTATTTATTTGCTTGTTTTTCAGAAAAGTAAGTTGTGACATCTTAAGATATAAATGGATAACCTATATATAGAAATAAATGATAGGATTTACTGATTTAGATGATTATATTTGAGTTTTTGAAATATATTCGACTGAAAAATAAATGGAAAAACAGTCTCTGCAATCTCATGTATAATTTTGGTAATTCGTTCTTCATAATTGTGTATATTAAAACCAATTACACTAAATACGAATCATCTACTAAAATTAAAATAGGAAACAAATATCTTATTTTAACATATCATCATCCACCATTCTAATAGAAATTAATTAAATAATTTAAAAGCATAGTTATTTCAAAACTTTTAACATGGTTTGACTGTTATAAATAGTGCTGGCTAATTATGCCTTATAGTTAAGCCAGAAAAACCTAATTAAATTCATGTTTATGTTCAGAATTGGAAAGTAAATGTTCCTTCCAAATTTTATACATGACATCTCACATGTTAGCATAATATGAAAGCATGCATACAATAGAGTCACCATGACCAAAATTATATAGCAAAATATGAGAGGATATTAAACTAATTCGTATGATATCGCCATTATACAATACACACACCACCATGCATGTTCAGAATATTTTAAAAATATACCAGCACTATGCGTGACATCCTCGACAATATATAAACTTTTAGGCGTGACAAAAGCTATATCAAATAATTTGTTTTATATTGACATATGAAAATGGCATAATATGTAACATTTTATAAAACAAAATCACATTTATATAATTTTTTAAAAAAAACTAATGAAATTTTTAAGAGTAATGCAATGTTTATGAAGAAAGTTGCATCTTTCACAATTTTTGAGATTTTTATACTAATAAAAAGACACATATTTATAATCTTTTAAAAACTAATGCAATGTTTAAGATGAAAAGTTGTATCTTTTCACATTTCTCTTGATAATAAGAATCCAAAAATATGTAAGAAAGCATCTTTTAATTTTAAAAGATGCATATATTTAAAATAATCTATCAAAATTTCTAATGATCTGTTTTTCATTTCTAATTTTAAGATTCTCTATCAAAGTTTCTAAGTTTAATGTAAAAGTTACATCCTTTAATTATAATTAAAGCTTAGCAGGATTAACTGTTACCGAAATTATAGGCAACCGATTAATATAGATGAAGTACAATTCATTTGAATTTGATTATTATTATAAACTAAAATTTTAAATAAAAAGTAGTTGACATGCGGAAGAAAAAGAAAAAAACAAGGCTTATAAAAATAATAAAACAAGGAAAAAAAGGTACTAAAGACACCGAAAGCTTTACAACCAATCAAAGAAATTTTTAAAATTCAGTGAGGGAAGCAACATAAGAAAAAAAACGACCACAAAAAAAAAAAGAAAAAAAATAATTGAAAATGATTTTGTTACTTAAAATACTTTGTTTACCAATAACTTTTACTCCTCCATACATTACTTGACATTAGCAAAATTATATACACTTTTTATCTTTAAACATATTTTTTATCTAAGAAATTAAATATTCCTATATAAAATTTTCAATACATTTATTTTCAGAACAATTGAACACTTAAAATATTTTCATAATTATAAAAATTGAACAAAAAAATTAAACATTCCTAGGATACAAGCAATACTTTGTTTCATCGGATGTTGGTGGTGGAAAAATGCAATGGTATGAGTTTCACGAGGAACCATCTGGTGGTGTTGGTGCTCCCAATGGTATATTCTGATTTGTTTTCTATGATTTTGCATTTAGTTATCAAAATCACATAACTTTTTTTTTTTTGTAGGTATGAAGAAAAGGTTGTTTGAGATATTTGAAGGTTGGTGCGACAATGTACTAGACTTATTGGATGCAACAGAGGAGGAAGCGATTCTGAGAAGAGATATCTATGATAGAACTCCTAGTTTCACTTGGGGTAAAGGGCGTGTTACTCTACTTGGTGATTCTATTCATGCAATGCAGCCAAATATGGGACAAGGTGGATGCATGTGTTGGGTATATTAGCGGGATAACGTTTCTTGTAGCGGATAAGTTGGAAATTGGACTGCTACTATAATAGTTAGCCTCCGTATTTAGAAAAGAGATTTGCTACTCAAGCTTTATATTTAGAGAGAGTTTTATAACTCTTTTAGAGAGAACTCTTTTTTAAAACTACTACTCTTTATTTATGATTGCTTTTGCTTGTTGTGGGATGCTTTTACAAGTGAGCCAAGCATCCCTATTTATACTACTTGAGCTATCTCTAGATCCTTCTCTTAATCTTATCCATAATTTCTTCTACACACTTCTTCTTCTTGGGCTTCTTGGGCTTCTTGACTTTTGCTTTGAATCTTGGACAATTGGGAGAGCCCAAACCAAAGTTTATAATTCAACACCCTCTCTTAAACTTGGTTTGTCACTCCAAGCAAACTCCGCATCTTGATAAAATCTTCACGCTTGAGAGGCTTGGTAAAGATATCAGCTAACTGATCATTTGTCTTCACATACTCCAATTGCACTTCCATCTTGGTGACACATTCCCTAATGTAGTGATAACGGGTATCAATATGCTTGCTTCGATCATGGAAAACTGGATTCTTCGCCAATGCTATTGCTGATTTGTTATCAACAAAGATCTTCGTTGGCTCCTCTTGTGGTAGACTCAACTCTTTTAGCAAGCTTCGTAACCATATAGCATGGCAGACACATGAAGTAGCCGCCACATATTCTGCTTCACAAGTTGAAAGAGTGACAATTGGTTGCTTCTTTGACATCCATGTGAAGGCCTTCTCTCCAATGAAAAACACAAAGCCACTTGTACTTTTCCGGTCATCTACATCTCCTCCCCAGTCGCTATCGCTATATCCAACAAGCTTGTAATCGTCAGAAATAGAGTAATACAAGCCAAAGTTGCTTGTACCTTTGATATAGCGTAGAATCCTCTTAGCTGCCTTGAAATGAGTTGTTGTTGGATGCTCCATGAAACGACTCACAACTCCAACCGCATATAAGATATCAGGCCTTGTACATGTTAGATAACGTAAGCTTCCAACAAGGCTCTTGAAGAGTGTTGGATCCACACTCTCTCCTTCTTCTTCCTTTGACAACTTGACTCCACATTCCATTGGCGTGCAAACTGGATTTGAGTCATCCATCTTGAACTTTTGTAGCATCTCTTTAGCATAAGCTTCTTGAGTAATGAAGATTCCATTCTCTTCTTGCTTTACTTCAATGCCAAGTTAGTATGACATCAATCCAATATCAGTCATCTCAAACTCCTTTGTCATCTCCATCTTGAAATCTTCAAACATAATCGGATTGTTGCCGGTGATTATCAAGTCGTCTACATACAAGCATGCAATCAATATATCATTGTTTTGAGTTTTGATATAAAGTGCATGCTCATATGGACACTTGATGAAGTCTTTCTCCTTGAAGTACTTATCAATCCGAGTGTTCCATGCTCTTGGTG